AAAATAAACGGAGACCGATTGGATTTGAACTCGGAATCCCTCGCCTACTATCAAGACACTTAGCTACGGCTCCTCTCTGTTAGTCTGTTTATATTTTCGAATCTCTTTCATGACCGTTTACATTCGTCTATTTCTTACAATATATATAAAATTTGTTTCTAGGTATATATGCGCGCACGCGTTTATGTACATAACGAAACACAGTACAGGCATACAGAAAGACGAAGGACGAAAGAAAGGGAAGAAGGAGAGATGGATAGGAAGAGATGAAGAGAGGAGTGGAGCAAGAGGGGAGGAGGGAGAGAGAGGGGGGACTTATCGAATGAATGATATTAGTATTCGTATACATCCGCATGTGTCTATTCATTTACACATTTTCTCCAACAATAATTTAGCTATTTAACATTACAAAGTTTACTTTAATGATGTTTTCCATATGGCATGATACGAATATATATTTTTAAAGGAAAAAAGAATAAATGAATCAATTACAAGAAAATATAATAGGAATAAATCAAGTTATACACGATTCAAAGTTGAAATATTAATCAAGATTTTGATTTAACAATTGATCGTAATTTTTTAATACTATATGACATAGAAAAAAGACGTAGAAATTAGGTAAATACGAATAAAATATAATGTTTGAAGTGATCTTGTTTTAAATTCGCTATTTATGTCACTGCTATTTCGTAGAAAAAGATAGTCACAAAGTTGTAATTTTTTAACGTTGATAATATCGACTAATCATTTCTGTTTAGTATAGATTTATTGTTGAGTTTTTTATCGAACGAGATTTCGTATAGCAACGCTGATAGGTTGAACAGGATCATTACAAATAAAATGTAACTTCCATCATATCCTGTATATCCCGCAATTTTCCCCGTACTCTTACGCTTGGCAATTACTACGTCATGACGTACTAATAACTAATTAGCCGTGTGTAGGAGGTAATGACGGGACAATAGGCAGCGGTCACGATGGATGGGAAGTGCTTAGTTTGATGATAAATGCTTGCCCCTCTGGCCTATATTTAATATTTCCACAATGAACGACTCTTTCAAGAGAGGAAAAATCAATTATCATTGGCTGTTTGTTTCTCCTTTGTATTTACGTTTTAACATTATTGCAACAATTATTTCACTATCATCCGTATTTCAAATATCTTCCATAATGATATTAAGCGTATGACGTTTTCTCGTACTCAAAATGCTTGTAAAAATGTCGTTGAGTGATATATTTACCAAATACGCGCTATTAAAAGTGAAGGAATGAAAAGTTGCTCGGTCTTTTTTCGCGTTCGAATAATTATCAAAAGGATTAGATTGCCGATCAATTCTTTCGATCGAATGTCTTTTGGATCAATGTCAATATGGTGGGGTGATCTATTTGGGGAGGTGCGGTGCAATGTGCGATTCGACGCAACGCATCGTGCAAAAATCAGCCAGCAGGTGAATCGAGATGAATCGTGCAGAGTCGACTGATGAAAGGTAAAAAAGAATCTTTAGAACGAGAACGACTGTCTGACCATATGATATACGACAAATCTTGCATCTTTCTGTGCGCATTTCCGGTACCATCTTTTGACATCGTCCTAAAATTGAACGAGGTGAATATCGACGCAAGTTTTATCATTTCATTCAATCTCAAGCAGGATGACGGCAGATGATCCTCTTTACCAGGAACCTTTAATATCCGTCGAATTCGAGGTTTTCGGAAAGGTACAAGGTCAGTTGTTAAATG